GTGAGCGAGTATAAACGGGCTAGACGCATACAGTAGATCCTCCCTCTGCCCTCCCACAGCTCATATAAGTACATAAACAGCAATAATGATGGCTGGATGTTGTTTTTTTTAACACTCAATGATCAGTGTTTTGTTGAGTGAAGAGTCCACGGAGGAAAAACATTTTTTTTACATTAACGGTGGTGATGAAAAAAAGATGCAAAAATCAGCTGCATGCTCACGTTCAATAGGATCAAACCAGCAGCTCTAATAGCTCTTTTATAGCCTGGCCCTCGCCTTCCCACGCAGCTCCGCTCAATTCTAGTTTCCCTTCACTGCTCCATCTGGGACTTCTCCTATTGAGATGGATTTCGCTGGCAGATTTTTAGCCGGGCCAATCAGAGAACAGAAYGTCAAWTTTCTGATYAGTGTCTGCTTGTAGTTTATTTTACCTGGGCCAATCAGCAAACAGAAGGTGGAGTTTTGAACTACATTGATTTTCTGCGCAGTGTCTGCTAGTTATTTTAGCATACGGCAGTGGAGGAAGTGAATGAAGCCAGTCTGTGTTGATAAGACTTCCAAATTAAAATAAATTTGTCTGACAAAGCTGCAGCTCTCATTTACAGTCGTCTCGCTYGGCTCGGTATATTTCTCCTCTCAGTAGGGTTGTTTACAGCACACGCGATTTCCGGTTAGCTTCTTAGCTTAGCCTCCGTCACAGCGACATACGTCGCAGCCAACTGATCCAATCAATTTAAACTTCAGCAGAGGCCACGCCTCCTGCAAGAATCACTTCTCTTTGCATCAAGTCCAGACCCTTGTACGAAGCGGAGCGAAGTGAAGGACACTGGGTCTGGTTTTAACCAGGCTAGCTCTTTTAACAACTGGCTTCAAACAAAAAAACTAATTTTAAACAAAATAACACGCAGAAGGTAGGTCCATCGCTGTGGTGTTCCTCATGAACAAACACTCACGAAGTTCTAACCAATCACATGCTCCGAGCCGCAAGTTGTGCAATTTTTTGTCACTCCGCAGGGGGAACAAGACGTGCAACTCGAAGTATAAACTAGCCTTAATAACCAGGRTGAGATAATTTATGGTAGGCCCTATGAGTGAAAATCAGAGCAAAGTGGTTTTTTTTTTCCTGTGGTTGTTTTCTTTTAATATATCCAGCCTCACTAAGGCAGAATAGATAAGACTACACTCCTACTGCAAGTCAAAGAGGCTCAAATCAGATTTTATTTAATTTTTTTGGCAAATGCATCTTACTTTTTAATGACGATCTGAACTTGAACACAGGTCACTTTCACGTCTGGTAATAAATCAGATACATTACTAATGTTTTGACCTCTGAGTGAAGAGTCATGTCTCATTTTATCTAACTTTTACATTACAGAAGTAGGGGTTTGTGGATCAGTACAAATATTGATAATATTGAGGCTAACATAATGCTTTTTAAAGTTTAGAACTTAGCACGTCTTTAGCTACAGAACTTAAGTCTTTTTTTCTTCTAGTTTTCAGATTTGCCATGTCCTGGATGACTGAGTCTACAACCACATGATGCCAATGTGTCGCATTGTATCGAATTTAACATGATACTTGAGTTTGTTTCCACTTTCTGTACATCGCTCTAGTTTAAGAAATGCAATAGACCATTTTGTAGTGAAACATTGTTACAAATGTGCATGAGCAAAACAGGCTGAGGTTGCTATGCAAATGCCAACGAAACTGAACAAATTCAACTGGTAAATTTATGCTGGTATACAGACCTGTTGTATTTGATCTAAACTGATTCGTATTAAACTCTCCTTTAGGATCATAGATGAGATTTTCATAAATATTTAAGCTCTAAATCTGCTTTTTGAGCTTGTTGAGTTTGAACAATTCCAATGGCATTTTCATTGTAACCTCTGCATTATCTCGGTTAGAGTTAAGCTCCGCTGATACTGATAGTTATGAATTGGTCTATTGGAAATAGTCTATTGGTATAGCTCCCAAAATTTTTAGTTTTTGACCCAAAGAATAACACTAGCAAAAACCTGCGACACCAACTATGTCTGGTGATAAATATTGGTATCAGATCAAATAAACCAGGGCATAGTAACAATGGGCCTCATGCAAGAGCCGTTCGTACGCACAGATTTGTTCTTAAATTGTGCGTACAAGTGATTTAGGAGAATTTGTGG